TCAAGTAATTCTGCCTCAGCCTCCCGAGTAGCTGGGACTACAGGTGTGTGCCACCATACCTGGCTAATTTTTTTTAAAATTATTGTTAGTAAAGATAGCTTTTCACCATATTGGCCAGGCGGGTCTCGAATTCCTGACCTGGTGATCTGCTGCCTCGGCCTCTGAAAGTGCTGAGATTACAGGCATGAGCCACTGTGCCAAAAGCGACAGGAGTATTTCCTCCCTCATCTCACTGGCCAAAGTGAGTCTCATGGCCACTCCTGAGTTCAGCAGGGTGGTGACAGGGAGTCTGCAGGGCAAGGAGGCTGGGGCATGGGGGAGGAGTGAGGGAGCCACCTCATCTGGCTCAGCATCTTCACCTGGGGCTCTGCTTGGTGATGGGAGCCTGGGTGTGAACTTTCAAGTCAGGGCTCCCAGAGGCAACAGATATGTCTCACCTCTCTGAGCCTCGCAGGCTTTACCTGTGCCAGAAATGGATGTGGATGTGGAGGCACCCTGTGGGCTGTCATGCTCTCTGCGACTATACGGGGTGGTTGGTGTTTTCATCTTTGTTAATAGCCCAGCAGTGCTGGCTGCTAAGGAAATGTAATGTGACATTCAGCAGGACTTGGGAAGGTGTTGCACCTGTGTGTGTACATAGGTTAGAGGCGGGGGCCGGCCACATGTGCCCTGCTTCCTGTCTGCCTTCTTGGAGCCCCTGCAGCCATGTGGGTGCCTCAGCCCTCAGTGGGTGTGTTAAGCTTGGACTCTGCCTGTGGAGCTAATGCAGGGGCTGCTGGGTCCTTCCGATTCTCTATCTTGGGAGCCTGGGGCTGGGAGGCCAGGATGGCAGAGTGTGGGTGCTGGACTTATTTATGGGTGAAGCTGACAGTGCCTTAGGCTCAGGCAGAGCAGAGGGAGCCAATGAGCAGAGAGAAAGAGAAGGTGGAAAAAGTCAGGCAGAGAAACACAGTGCCTTAGAAGGAGAGGTGGCCACTGTGCTTCCTGGTGAGCTTCCAGGGGATGTGCCTGAGTTAGCCCCCAGCTGGTGGATGTCCCTGGCCTAGCCTCCAGCCACAGGATGTGCCTGAGCTAGCCCTCAGCGGGGGGATGTGCCTGGGCTAGCCCTCAGCTACAGGATGGGCTGCAGCTAGTTTCTAGCTAGGGGATGTGCCTGAGCTAGCCCTCAGCCGGGGGATGTGCCTGGGCTAGCCCTCAGCTACAGGATGGGCTGCAGCTAGTTTCTAGCTAGGGGATGTGCCCAAGCTAGCCCCCAGAAGGGGTCATTCCTGGGCTAGCCTGAGCAGCCTCTTCTTCCTGGTAAGTGAACACTGTCACCTGTTGACAATGGAGTCTCCGGGAGGCTCTGAACACATGTCCCTCACGGTGGCTGTGAGACCACAGTATTTCTTTCTCGCTCTCTTTTTTAAAACTTTTATTTTAAATTTAGGGGTGCATGTGCAGGTCTGTTACATAGGTAAACTGTGTCATGAGGGTTTGTTATACAGATTATTTCATCACCCAGGTATTAAGCCTAGTACCCATTAGTTATTTTTCCTGATCCTTTCCCTCTTCCCCTCCCATCTTTGACCTTCCAAACAGCCCCAGTGTCTGTTCCCCTCTTTGTGTCCCTGTGTTCTCATCATTTAGCTCCCACTTATAAGTGAGGTATCATGCAGCATTTGGTTTTCTCTTCCTGTGTTAGTGTGCTGAGGATAAGAGCCTATACCTCCATCCATGTTCCTGCAAAGGATGTGTTGTCATTCCTTTTCATGGCTGTGTGGTATTCCATGGTGTATGTTTGCCACAGTTTTTTCCTCCAGCCTATCACTGATGGACATTTAGGTTGATTCCATGTCTTTGCTATTGTGACTAGTGTTACAATGAATGTACATGTGCCTGTGTCTTTATAATAGAATGATTTATATTCCTTTGGGTATATATCTTGTAATGGGATTGCTGGGTCAAATGGTATTTCAGCCTTTGGTCTTTGAGGAATTGCCACACTGTCTTTCACAGTGGTTGAGCTAATTTACATTCACACCAACAGTGCATGAGTATTCCTTTCTCTCCACAGCCTCACTAGCATCTGCTGTGTTTTGACTTTGTAATAATAGCCATTCTGATTGGTGTGAGATGGTATCTCATTGTGGTTTTGATTTGTACTTCTCTAATGATCAGTGATGTTGAGCTTTTATTCATATGATTGTTGGCTGCACGTATGTCTTCTTTTAAAAAGTGTCTGTTCATGTCCTTTGCCCACTTTTTAATAGGGTTTTTCCTATGTGAAAAGAAAAAATCCGGAGGCATCACTCTCCCTGACTTTGAAATATACTACCAGGCTACAGTGACCAAAACAGCATGGTACTGGTACAAAAACAGATACACAGACCAATGGAACAGAATAGAGAACCCAGAAATAAGACTGCACACCTGCACCTATCTGATCTCTGACAAACCTGACATAAACAAGCAATGGGGAAAGGATTCCCTATTCAATAAATGGTGCTGGGATAACTGGCTAGCCATGTGCAGAAGATTAAAACTGGACCCCTTCCTTACACCATGCACACAAATGAACTCAAGAAGGATTAAATACTTAAATGGAAAACCGCAAACTACAAAAGCCCGGGAAGACAACCTAGGCAAGCTGTTCAGGACATAGGCACGGGCAGAGATTCCACGATGAAGACGCCAAAAGCAATTGCAACCAAAGCAGAAATTGGCAAACAGGAATCCATCTAAATGGAAGAGCTTCTGCACAGCGAAAGGAGCTATCAACAGAGTCAACAGGCAACCTAGAGAATGGGAGAAAAGTTTTGCAAACTACACATGGGACAAAGGTACAAAAACAGATACACAGACCAATGGAACAGAATAGAGGTCGACTATCGAGAATCTCTGTAGCACTTAAATGAGACCACAGCCTTTCTAAGGTGACAGGAGATTCTCCTTGTGGCACACACTTGGTGACAGCAGGGCACCTCCCGCTAATGCAATCCCACTCTGAGGGCCCTGGGGCTGCTTGGAGGTCATGGGGTTCTCCTGCCCATTGTCCTTGGGCCGGCCCCGTTCTGAGGCTCCCTCCTGCTCACCCTGGCAAAGATCATTTTGCATGCACATGGCAGGCCTCAAATGTGTCTCCCTGCTCTTGTCTCCAGAGCTCGCCTTCCTGTCTTATTTAGAAATCGAGAGAGAGTCCTGGCTTGGGAAATGCTGGGGTCTCCCCAGCTCAGTGCAATTCTTTCATCTTCTTTTTAATTTAATACCATTAGGTCATGTCCTTTTAAAAACATTTCTGGGAAAATCCTTATTTTGTGTATTTCTCAAGCATCTTGACATTCCGTCTCAGAGCAGTGGCCCAATCGCTTCCTTCCAGCTCCCCTTCAGACTCCCTGTCGGCTTTATCTCCTGCAAATGCCTCCGTGCTGCAAAGCAAACTCCCCCTCCCGGCCCCACCGCCCCCGTCTCTGGGGACAAAGAAAGGGCCCCATACTCTCACTGAGGCCTTTGGGCAAACCAGATACATCATCACAGCCCAAGACGTGGAGGCCCAGGACCCTTCAAAGGTGCCTGCTCCGGAGTCGGCTCAAACCTCTGCCTATTAACTCTTTCAAAGAGCGTTTGTCGGCTGTGAAAGCCGTCTGGGTTCATTGATTAAAAAAAAAAAAAAAAGGTATTGTCTTTAGGGCTGCTGAATACATTAATGAGCTGTCGCGGAGGGCAGTTGGGATTTGCAGAGGGCTACAGTTACCGTTCACCTACTTGTTGCCTTAAAAGAGAAAATAATGTTCACATGAAGACAGAGCTTTCAGGCACCTCTGCCGGAACACGCTTCATCGGAGGCGCCAGCAGGATTCTCCTCTTCCTGAAACCCCAAAGAGTTAAGCCGAAGTGGTTAATATGCCTGTGTCTGCCTCCTCCTCCTGTATTCTAATGTATGAACCCGCTCATTCAGATGGGAGTGGGGCTGGGGGACAGCTTGCCTTCCCTGGGCAATTGTGTACGGCCCCCGCTGAAATGTTCCTAAAAACACGATTTTGTAAATGCTTATGCTCCACTAGACATCCTGTGCGTCTAAGTCCTTGTCGCCCAGTGTCCCGAGTGGGGTTCACTTTGTCTCTTCACACCCAGGGACTCTCAGCCCGAGGTGAGGAAAAGGAAGGGGGTGATTAAGGATTCTGACAAGGTAGGCTGAATAAATTGTGTTTTCTTTGTGGGCCTTAATCCGGTGTTGTATTGGCTTCTCGGACATGGCTAATTTATTTGGAATTTCATTCTGTTCCTGACAGCGTCCTTGACTAGCTGTTTGATCACCCCGAGCAAAGTTACATACCAGCTTTCAGCCGTTGGGAGGGCAGCGGCGTCCTTTTTCTCAAGTACCTTCTCCTGGGTCGGGCTTTATGCCTGCAGCAGGGCGTCTCAAACGGCTGGGGCCATCCCTTGTTAGGGAGAGAAACCGCCCGGGCAGGGGTCTCCCTCAATGAGGAAGCCCTCCACTTCCCCCCACTCGTCCCACTGTTCGTGATTTTAATCTGCTTTTGTGGCGCAGGAAGAAAGAAAATTAATTTTCGCCCGTCTGTGTGTAGGGAGCATTTCAGTGGAAACCCGGTTTGCAATGCATGTTCTGTTGATTTCGGCGGCCTGCGCCTGGGTTTTGAGATGCGGCGTTCTCAGGGGACGAGGTGTCTGGCTGCAGGCCTTCCCGGGGTGCGAACTCAGACTTCCCATGGGCCCTGGACGGGGTCCTCGTGTCTTGTGCTCCATCTTGGCAGAAGTAAGAGTTGAGGATGTTGATGCTTTCCCAACTCACCCATCTCTGTGATGGTTACCTTGTTTTTTTTTGGCAAAAGCAAGCATATTTGCTTTTGCAAAAAAGAAACAAAGAAAAAAAATGATTTTCAGCAGGACCCTGACATGTCTGGGAATGCCTCAGTATCAGCAAGGTTGCAGCTGATGGCCGTGTAATTTTGGGAGGACCCAAATTTCCTGCTCTAAGGAAAACACGCGCTTCCTTGCAGGTGGCCTCCCCGCCCTGATGCAGGCGGCCGTCCTTGCCGAGAGTCTTCTGGGTGCCTGGAACTGTGAAATCCTGGGGGCCTCGGGCAGAGTTCGAGTTCTAGAAACACATGGAAGAGCGCAGAGGATGTCGGTGCTATGAAAATAACAAACGAAAACCAAGCAAGGCACGGAAGCCGCGGGGTGCGCCTGGTGGTCCCTGGGGAAGGGCGTTCAGCGGCGGTCCTGCGTTAGAGTCAAGTCCAGCTCGTCTCTGTGACATCGGGGCAGGGATTTCCCCTGCAGAACACTCATCCCCAGCCGTGCTTGCAGAAGCTGGGGAGGGATTATTATCCCCTCACCTTTTTTTTTTTTTTTTCGAGACAGGGTCTTTCCCTGTTGCCCAGGCTGGAGTGCAGTGGCTCGGTCATGGCTCACTCAAGCTCTGCCTCTCAGGTTCGAGCAAGCCTCCCGCCTCAGCCTCCTAGCTAGCTGGGACTACAGGTGTAGGCCACCACACCCAGCTAGTTTTTGTATTTTTTTTTTTTTTTAGAGCTGGAGTTTTATCTTGTTGCCCAGGTTGGCCTGGAACTCCTGAACCTTCTCACCTCAGCCTCCCAAAGTGCTGGGATTATTTTCCACTTTTACAAATGAGGAAACTGAGGCCCAGTGATGATTCAGTGGAGATCAGCTTGCCTGGGGCTCATGGGAAGCTGCTCATGGGGTTCTTGGGGCTCTGTCCCTGGCTGTCACCTGTACTGAGGGCTGGTCCGGGGTGGAGACCAGGCTTTGGGGACAAGCACTTGCGCCTCCTCGTTGCTTCCACCCCAGGCCCTCCCCATGGAGCTCACCTGTGGAGAGGGTTTCCTCTGCCAGGCATTTCGACAGGAGACCACGAGGGAAGGAGCGTCACTGCTGTATCAACGTTGAACGTTTGGGTGCAGGAAGATGCCTTGGCTGTTTGAGGTCCTGACTTCAAACAGTAACTTGCATCCCCTGATCCATCCTCAGAGGCCCAGGGCTGGGAGTCCCCACCGCTCAGCTCCATGCATTCCCATTGGCGGGGTCTGGGTCTGTGCCCATGGGTCCCTCGTCATGCTTATCCCGGATTATATTCATAGGTGAATGATTCAGGGGGGATGTGACGGGGAATCACAGGAGGGAGGAGCAGGGAGGGCAAGATAAAGGGGAGCAGGCTGGGAAGGGGGTGACTCTAGGCACAGCCGCAAGTCCCTGGTATTTTCAGGGGGAGCTCTGGGGGCTCACAGTGGCCTCTAGTTTGTCCTGGCCCAAAGCGGGGACCTGGGCTATGTCCTGCCCAGGTATGCCTTAGGTTAAGGGCTGCCTGTGGGAGGGAACTTCTCGGGCCTTTGGGTCTGTGCATTGGGGTGACTCCGGTGACCCAGGAGGCCCTGGAGAAGAGTCGCAGTGGAAGCCAAAATGCAGGGTAGTGGCAGGTGAGGCACAGGAGCTGGTGGAGGCTCTGGGCACAGGTCTCGGCCACAGCCACAGGCCGCTGATGGTGGGAGGACTTGAGGAGTTTCCCCGAGATGGGAGGTTTCCCAGTACCCATGCTGCAGTGCCCCTGTGTCTATGGCGTGCTCACGGTCACTCGTGTTTCCCTGCGGCCCCCTCCACGTTATCCAGCAAGCAGCCTGCTCTCAGGAGCAGCTGGGCCTGGATGCCCCAGGAGGAGGCTGCCCCCTTCCTCTTGCAAAGGGCACACCGTCCTCGTCCTTGCTGCCTCCCAGAGGCCCAGGGACGTCTGGGGGTGGGGGCCTCCTTGACCCCTGCATGCAGACGCCAGGTGACTGGGGCGTGGTTAACTGTGTGTGTGTCCAACTGGGAGCTTGGCAAACAGAGAGTTTTGTCCAAGGCCACCTCGTCCCCACTTGTCCAGGTTTGGAGGGGCCCTGCCTCATATGGCCTGAGCTGAGTGAACACCTCTGGCCTGAGCAGACGGCCCTGGCTCCCCCAGGACACGTCACCTGGAGAGGTGGCCCTCTCAGGTAAGGGACATGCCCGCTGACAGCAGCCTCTGCCCCCTCCCTGCGTGCACAGCTGCTCCCGTCTGGGGACCCTCACCCCACGGGCAAATGGGCTTCCACAGGAAGTCGGGAGGACTTTCCTTGGCCTTCTGGAAGGCCTGGTCCAGCAAATGCTCTATTGGATGACTCACTTCATGGTGGGGTCCATAGAGCTGACTCCCCACCTACCTTTGAAGTGATCTTCAGACCTGTGTGCGTGGAAAATAAGCCCAGAGCTGTGTTCCCTGAGAGAGTGGCCTTTGACAGAGGTACTGGGCAGGCTGGCAGGTGAGGGGACACCACAGAGTGAGGAGGGTCCAGCCAGGCACGCTTCCCACACGGCCTCTGCCAGTCCTTGCGGGGCTCCAGGGTGGCTGGAGGAAGGCAGCTTAGACGGGACCCAGCCTGTGTGAGTGAGATTGAGCTCTGCTTCCCGTTTGAACCTTCTGGAAAGGCTTGGCAGGGAGGACACTCATTTTGTAGACAGGGAAGAAACTGAAGACTGGCTTCCGGTAACTGGTGATGGGTCCCAGAGCCCTGCAGCCAGGAGGCCACCACTGCTGCTCTCTAGCTCAGGCTGGACATTTCCTGGTGAGAACTGGCTGCACTCCCAGGACCCAGCCGCCAGAGACCTCTGTTCCTCATGCTTATCCCCCTAGCTCCAACGGGGGCCCCTTTGCTCTACGGGATGTGGGCTTGGACTTAGAGGGGGCAATGCTGGCAGTTTCTCTCTCACCCACAGAAACTCGGCTGTGAGAGGCCAGAGGTGGACTTCAGGGGCAGAACCTGTAGAGGTCAAGGTGTCCTTATTGTGTGTGCATGCATGTGAGTTTGTACATGCATGTGCATATGTGTGTGTGTGCGTGTGTGGCAGGAGGAGAAGGCTGGGCAGACACTGTTATTTCAGAAATGAGGCAGAGGGCTTTCTGCGGGCACCCGCTGAGGAGAGCCCGGGGCCAGGGTCTCTGTGCGCAGGCGCTGGGCTTGGCCCCTGAGAAACGCTCTCTTCCCCCCCAGTCCTTCAAAGCAGGAGGTATTTGCCTCACTTTCCAACGCAGAATCTGCGGCTCTGAGAGGTTGTGCAGCTTGCCGGAGGCCACTCAGCTAGTGGAAGGCGGGACTGGTGTCAGGCCCAGGGTGACCGGGGGGATGTGAGGGGACCCCAGGCCTGTGTGCTCCAGCTTGGGGCTATGGGTTCCATCTCAGGCTTCTTAGTAGGGGGTGGTGGGGGTGAGCTGGAGGGAGGTGCTGTCTGGAGCCCACTGGTCCCCTTCCTGGGGTGAAGCAGGTTTCCCGTGCTGACCCCCTGCCATCAGAGGCCCGGGGCGCCAACCCTGTGCTGCTGAGCTGTGTTTGGGGCTGTGGCCGCCTGTCCTCATCTTCTCCCCCTCTCTCCTTGGCTTTTCATGCACAGGCTCCATCCTCCTTCCCTGCGGTGGCCCCAGCCTCCCCGCCAAGCTTCCCGGCCCCCGCCCCATCCTGGGCCTGCTGCTGCGGAGACCGTGGGCTGGCGCTGGACGGCGCGGCCTCCAGAAGTGATAGCTAATTGGGGAGAGAAAGGGCCCAATTGTCTGGCGGGGCCGGAAGAGCCGCGTGGGCTGCTGAAAGCGCCGGGAGGAGGTGGCCGCTTCGCCCAGCAGCTGCCGCCGGGGATGTTTGCAGATTACGTCAGTGCTGGCGAGCAGGGGGCGCAGGGACAGCGAGGGGGGCGGGCTCCCGGCGGCCTCCCGCCCCCCAGGCCCCTGGACAATGCCGTCATTGTCGGCACAGAAAGTGGTTAATTCTGCATGAATGGTACACGGGCCTCTTGACCAAGGAGGCCGCTTGCCGCCCCCGTCTGTCCCCTCACATGCCAGGGAGGCCTCGGGCTGGAGTCTGGCAGGCAGGGCTGGCCTGCTTGGTGGCACCGGAGAGAAGTGGCGGTCCCTTGGGGGCGCCAGCTGCAGAGGTCCCCGGCTGGACGGAGCTTCCTGACCCGGGGCTGCACGGCGGCCACTTGGCAGTGCCGGGTTTGGACCGCAGGGCCCCACCTCATCTTGGTTCGAGGGCAGAGGCCTCTGCTGCTTTGTGGGGCTGACCTTGGGCATGACTTCCCGGCCAGGTGGCAGCTGGGGCCTTGACCCACTCCTGGCCCTGCTGGTGGTGATCCTGCTAGCACGTCTCATCCTGTGGTCCTGCCTCGGGACCTACATTGACCATAGACTGGTCCAGCGGCAGCCCCGGAGACCCAAACAGGACTAGGCCTTGGCAAGCCGTGGCCTCCACGTGCCCTGCACTCAGCAGACCCTTCCGGTCTGCTGGTTCTCATTACAGGGGAGCAGGGCAGGCTCATGATCCCCACGTCCCATCCCCTGGGGCAGGAGCTCAATGAGGCCTGAGATGGACCGTGCCTGTCCAGACTGACCAGGGCTGTCCCGTAGAGGCGGCCAGGCACGTGGTGAGATGGAAGAGCCAGCCTTGCGGGTCCCTTAGCAGGTTCTGGGGTCCCCGGTTGCAGGGGGTAGTCCTGGGGGTGGGTCTCGCTTTAAGATCTTCTCTGCCTCCAATTCCTTATAAATATGCCTGCAGGAGTTGCTGGGTGAGCCAGGGGACTCAGGTAGAGGGGCCACAAAGACGAAGGTGGAGGGCCAAAGCCAGCCCTGCGGCCCAAGGCCACGTCCTGCCCCAGATCACCACCGTCATGACCACTCTCCTCCTGCCTCCCGAGGGACAAGACAAGTGCGGGTGGCTGTGATGGTGTCCCCAGAGCGGACCCCTGGGAGGGTCTCAAGACACTCGTGTGAGGCTGAGTTCAAGTCTGGCTCTGGTTGACGCTCTGCACACTCTCTAACAGTCCAAAGCTCAGTGAGGACACAACGATCCCTGCCTCCCTCACTCAGCAGGACATCACGTGTGGGATGCTTTAGGGGACAAGCCTAGGGACCGGCCAATGCCCTCTGTTCATCTGTCCCTGCACACGTGTGGATGGGGGGGTACCAGGAAGGCCGACGGTGTGGGGAGGTTGATTTGAGGCCAAGCACCCGTGCCCCTGCCCCCACCTCCCCAGCACATTAGCTGTGATGCAAGCAACTTAACCCACAGCTTGCAGAAGCGCCGTGGTTCTCCTGCTGGCTCCACATTACAGCCTCTGGCGGGGAGTTCAGCAAACACCCATGTCCCGGCTCCACACTGTATTTCCTGGGATCGTTCCAGCAGATTCTGGATTGCGGCAAGGGCTGCTGACTTCGCGTGGAACAGTGAGATGGAAAGGACCACGGTCAGCAGCTCCAGGGAGGAACATCGAACCAGATACCGATCCTGGGAGGCGGGGCCTGGTGATGCGGCTGCCTCTTGCTCCCTGCTCGGTGTCGGGCATGCTGGGGAGGCTCCCTCTGGGAATGTGGGCCGAGTCTTCTGAGCACGAAGCTCACACAGGGCGTGATTCCTGTGAATTCTGAAAGGCCCTGGGAGCATCCAGCAAGAGCAGGAGCTTAGGTGGTGATTCCAGGGCTGGTGTTGCTGACTGGGATGAATGCCCCCCCCGGGGTGGGCATGGTGCTGGCCACTGGCTGGGAGCCTCTGCCTTGCTGTATCCTGGCTGAATGACCCCAGGGGAGGGCCGGAAACGCCCTTATCACTGTTTCTGTGGCAGCTGATGCACTCACCTATGCCAAGGAAATTTCTTTTTGGCTTCTGCAGGACCCGCTGTGCACAGGTCCTCTGTTCAAGAGAACTGCAGAGATGGGGCTGCTGGCGAGCAGGAGCTGAGACTGGCTGGGGTGGGACCGACCAAGAGTTTGAGGGTGGGGTGGTGTCCAGGGGCCATGTGAGGATGACCTATCGCAGAGGGTCCCTTGTCGTTCACACCCTGAAGTCTGCACAGGGGCAGGGGCTACTGTGCTCCATTTCCATTTGGCCTCTGTCGTGTCAGCCGGAGGCCAGCTGAACTCTATGGCCACTCCCCTGCGTCACAGACAATTCGCTGCCACCACTGCGGCCCAGGGCTCTGCCTGGATATTCCCTCCTGATCGCAGGACTGCGGGGAGAGATGAACTCATTGATGTAAGGAAAGTACCATTCCAGCTTGAGAAGCACTATCTTGTGCATTTTATGGATCTCTTCAGGGAAGAAAAACCGCCTTCGTTGTCATGAGCATGTACCGATGGAGCTGGGATGGCCAGCTGTTCTGGGTGGCCCAAGGCTGTCTTGGTTTTGAAATGGAAAGTCCCAGGTCCTGGGAAACCCCGTAATCCTGGTCACATGGGATGGAGGGAGTTAGGAGTTCATACGATGTGCTCGTGCCTTGCCAGTTGTCGAGTTTTGTGTAAACCTGTGTGTGGCCTGCGTGTCCACAGGGGTGTGTACGATGGCACCGACACACATATCTCAGGCCACCTCTTGATCCAGTTAGCCAGAATCCTGGGACTTCTTTTTTTTTTTTGAGTTGGAATCTAACTCTGTTGCCCAGGCTGGAGTGCAGTGGCATGATCTGGGCTCACTGCAACCTCTGCCTCCTGGGCTCAAGCTGTTCTCCTTCCTCAGCCTCCTGAGTAGTTGGGACTACAGGCATGTGCCACCACGCCCTGATGATTTTTGTATTTTTTAGTAGAGATGGGATTTCACCATGTTGGCCAGGCTGGTCTCGAACTCCTGACCTCAAGTGATCTGCTTGCCTCGGCCTCCCAGTATGCTGGGGTTATAGGCATGAGCCACTGCACCTGACCTTGGACTCCTGGGACTTCTGTTGGAGCCAGGGGTCAGGACAGAGTCCTCTACTGGGGCTGTCTGGCAGGGGACAGAAGCGGACCCCCAAGAACACAGTGACCCAGAAAGATGGCGGAAGGGAGGATTCTGCCAACCTTCTCTGACTCCCTATCTCAGTTACACTGGTCCATAATTTCTTTTTTTTTTTTTTAACCAGTTTTTTTTGTTGTTGTTATTGTGGTAAAATATACATAGCATAATATTTATGATTTTTTTCTTCAAAAATTTATATTATATTTTAGGCTTTGGGGTACATGTGAAGAACATGCAAGATTGTTGCATAGGTACACACATGGCAGTGTGATGTGCTGCCTTCCTCCCCGTCATCTATATCTGGCCCATAATTTATTTTCCTTTTCTTTCTTTCTTTTTTTTTTTTTTTTAAGACAGGGTTTCACCATGTTGGCCAGGCTGGTCTTGAACTCCTGACCTCAGGTGATCTGCCCGCCTCGGCCTCCCAAAGTGCTGAGATTACAAGCATAAGCCACCGCACCCGGCCTCTTTTTCTTAAGCCAGTTTCATTGGTTTCTGTTCCTGGAAACACACAATTCTGACAAATTCTTATATTCTGCATCCAGGGGTCAGCATCTCCAGCCTCGTGATTTGAAGTTCCTGGCTCAAAACAGGCACTCAGGCCATGGCGACTGAATGAACAAGGGGGAGGGTTTGCGCTGGCTGCATCTGGGTACCAGACAGGTAGACAAACAGTGGCTTAAAAAAGAGGAGCTTTAACAACATTCTGTTTTTCTTTCTTCATGGAGCAAGAAGCCTGGCATTCGGCATTCCCGGGCTGCGGCCTGGCAGCTTCACGATGTTATCAGGGTCTCAGACCCTGCCAGTTCTGCTCTGCCATCCTCAGCACGTAGCTTTGACCTTCATGGTTGCAAGGAAACTGCTGCTGCTCCAGGCATCTGACATGAGTTCCAGGCAGGAAGAGAAAGGAATGCAACCCAGATACCCTTAGTTTTCCATCTCATAAGCCAGAATGATGTCACATGGCCTCCCTGGGGGCACAGGAGGCTGAGAGATGGTGGCGTTTGTTAGCTGGTCTCATTGCCATCCTGAATGCAAAGTTTCTGTTATAAAGAAACCATGGCCATCAGCAGGCAACTGGAGGTCTCTGCCATGGGCCACCTGGCCATTCTTTGTAAAGGTCGTATTTGTCTTGGGCTGTATTTTGGATATTTTGGCATCTTTTGTGGTGCCCTTACGTGCTGGTTTTGCTGTGGTCTGCCCTTCAGGAATAGCAGCTGTGCCAAACTGTCCTTGGCTGCTCCAACCTGGAGTCAGAGGTTGGAGATTTCCACGGCTCCCTGTGGCTCCTGGGGGCCTCCTAAGAAAATGTTTTAATAAGGAAGTCCAAGGCTGAGACAGACACGCTCCTTTTTAGAGACACATGGGAACTCGCTTCTGCTCACAGCTGGTAGCCACAGCTGCAAACTGCAGCCCATGGAACGGAGACAGTGAAGGGCTGATGGATAAATGAAAGATGATCATGGACAGCAGATGCATAAAAGGCATACGGGGATAGTGTTAGGGCTGGAACCCCTCCCCCCAGTTCAAATGTTGAACCTCTAACGCCTAATACTTCAGAATGAGACTACGTTTGAAGATAATGGTCTTCAGAGAGGTAATTAACTTAAAATAAGGTCATCAGGGTGAGCCCTAATCCAAAGGATGGGTGTCCTAATCAGAGGAGGAGATTAGGACCCAGATACACACACAGAGAGAGAGAGAGAGAGAGAGAGCGCCAGGTGAGGACACAAGGAGAAGACGGCCGTGTCCAAGCCAAGGTGAGAGGACTCAGGAAGAGACAGTCCTGTGCACCCCTTGGTCTGACTCCTGCCCCCAGAACTGTGAGAACATAAATGTCTGCTGTTTGAGCCACGCTGTCTGCAGGCAGTCAGCGAGCATTCACTGAGGGCTTGCGGTATTCCAGGCACCACGGGTACAATGTGGGATAAGACAGAGCACCTGCCCCCAGGTAGCTTGCAGTCAGGGAGGTAAAGGGTAGCGGGCAGCTCTAATACCTGGAAACAGGTATTAGACCTGCACTAGGCATGTGTGGTTATTGGACGGAAAAACTGTGGCCATCACAAATTGTGATACGATGTAAGTAAAATACATACTGACTCTCGAAGACTTGGCACAGAAAAATAATGTAAAACCTCATTAGTAATGGTTTTCTATTGATTATGCATTGAAATGATACTATTTTGGGCGCATTGGGTTAAATAAAATATTTAATTTGATTTCACCTGTTTCTTTATTTTTATTTTTTATTGGACCTGATATTTTATTTTACATTTAACATTTATTTTAGGTTCAGTGGTACATGTGCAGGTTTGTTACATAGGTAAAATCATGTCAGAGGGGTTTGGCGTACAGATTATCTGTCACCTGGGCACTAAACTCCATACCCAAGCGTTATTTTGTCTGATCATCGCCCTCCTCCCACCTTCCACCCTCAAGTACACCCAGTGTTTGTCGGTTCGCTTTATGTTACCACGTGTTCTCAGTTTTTAGCCCCCATGAGTGAGAATGTGCCGTATTCAGTTTTCTGTTCCTGCATTAGTTTGCTGTGGACAATGCCTCCGGCTCCACTCATGTTCCTGCAAAGGACACGATCCCATTCTTTATTATGGCTGCATAGTATTCCTTCATGTATATGTACCACTTTTTCCTTATCCAGTCCATTGATGGGCATTTAGGTTGATTCACATGTTCCTTCTAATAGGTGTTAATGTGGCTACTAGGAAATTTAAAATTACATAGGTAGCTTATATTATTATTATTATTTTTGAGACAGAGTTTCACTCTTGTTACCCAGGCTGGAGTGCAATGGCGCAATCTCGGCTCACTGCAACCTCCGCCTCCTGGGTTCAGGCAATTCTCCTGCCTCAGCCTCCTGAGTAGCTGGGACTACAGGCACACGCCACCATGCCCAGCTGATTTTTGTATTTTTAGTAGAGACGGGGTTTCACCATGTTGACCAGGATGGTCTCGATCTGTTGACCTCGTGATCCACCCGCCTTGGCCTCCCAAAGTGCTGGGATTACAGGCTTGAGCCACCGCGCCCGGCCAGTAGCTTATATTATTTTTATTATGGACAGTGCTATGCCGGGCTTTCATAATGTAGCAAAAGGGTGGTGGGTGAATGCATGGTGTGTTATAGGAACACACAAGGGAGCTTCCTGAGGAGGTTCTTTTTTTTTTTTTTTAATAGAGACGGGGTTTCTCCATGTTGGCCAGGATGGTTTTGAACTCTTGACCTTGTGATCCGCCTGCCTCGGCCTCCCAAAGTGCTGGGACTACAGGTGTGAGCCACCACGCCTGGCCCTGGAGGAGGTTCTTAACCCATTTGTGCCTGAGGTTGCCATTTTTTGAATTTTTGCAATCAGACCTTGGTGATGACCTTGAGCAGTAGGATAGAAATAACTCCCACATGCTTAGCACTCCAGTAATGGAACACTAGGCATACAGGGGCTGAGTAATCATGTGCATATTTCAAACAAGAATCCCACAGCTAAAGCAACTCTTGAAGGGAAAGTTATAGCCCTAAAGATTCATATTAACAAATAGGAAGAATGAAAAGGTGCGAATTAGGCATTAGGCTCAATACATTGAACACAATAGAAATGGAACTAAGAAAAACAGAAGGAAGTTATAAGAGAGGAAATGGATGCATCAAAAAGTGAGAGAATTAAAAAATATATCCAAGTGCCAGATTTTTGAGGAGGCCTAAAAAAGGATGCTTAGTCAATTCTATCAAGAAAAAAGAAGGAAACATACCTGAAAGTAAAAGCCTATGGGGAAAACAACCACAGAGACATAACAAGGCAGATAACTGCAGGAAACTAGCACTGGGGTAGAGAAATGATTTTGAGACTTTGAAAACATAGAAAACATCATTTATTTTAAAAAAACACTCCAACAGATACGTAAAGTCTAAACAAATTGATTACCATAGAAGAAACAGAAATTTGTCCAAGTCAACCTTTCTTTAAAAAAAAAAAAAAAAAAGGCATCAGGCCCAGAATGTTTTATAGGAGGATCTAAACACACCAAAAAGGAACAGGTGATTAAACACTAGTTAAGCTGTTCTAAAATGTAAAAGAAGGAACGGGGTTTAACTTCTTTATATGTAACAGGCGTATCATTGATACCAAGATCCATCAAAGGTGGCATGGAAGGAGAAACCACACACCAGTATTGCCTGGGAACATTCATGTAAAGGTATTAAATCTCTGAATTAAGCAGCACATTAGGGGAATAAATCATCACAACGACCGAGTGGCGTGGATTCCAGAAATGCAAGGATGGTTGGATATTAGAAAAACAATCAGAAAAGAGGAAGAAATCAGAGCTTCAGACATTAAGAAGGAAAACTATTATTTGCAGAGACATGGATGATTTTCTTGGAAAATGGATGGGAGTCAACCAAAAGCAATTACAAATGCTAATAATAGAATTCAGCCAAGTGAGTGGATCTTGATCAATATAGAGAAACCATATACATAGCAATCCATCAGGAGATGAGAAGCATGAAGGACCCCACTTACAAGAGCAACATACAGAGCAGAAACACGGTTGGCCATTGTGGGGGATCAAGTTATGGCTCACAGTGATTCCCTTTAGTCTGTTTTAGGGTGCAATCGCCATGGGTGGTGTAGACAAGATTTATGGCCATGAGACCCTGACACTGTCAGGGCTGATGGAGAAGATCACACAAGGCTGGTGTCCAGCCTGGGGGCCCAGGTGACCTGCAGGGGAAGCTGGTGGCTTTGCCATGTTGCTGAGGCTAGGAGGACTGGAACCTGGATAAGCTGGAGGAAGAGTCTTGCTGGAGGGGGCTGTGGCTGGGAACTGAGGTGGGCTGGGGACTCCACCTGGACTTTCAGAGCACAGAAGCTGACTCTCCTTCCCCATGGCTGCCAAGTCCTATGCTTCTGGACCTGTCACTACAGTAGAGCCAAGAAGTTATGGAAAAAAGCCATCACATTTTTTGGGGGTAATGATGGTGGGTGCCTCCATGTAGTGAGTAATTGGAGTGGAGGGGTTCCCTGGGCCATGGGACTTTCAACACTAAAATGGGGGAGGGTCTTGGCCACATTGGAATAGGCAGTCATCCTGTTTATAGGACTTTCTGTGTAGTAAAGAATTAACCTGACCCAAAGAGAGGTCTAGTCTTTGTCCTTGGTTCCCGGGAGGGGATCTCCAGGCACTCAGGATGGTCTGCTCCAGAAGAGCATCTTCGTTTGCCTGTCATGAGGGGGAATTTGGGCCATGCAGTCTCTGTTTGACCTCTGGAGGGGCAGAAGACTAAGGGTCAGCCACGTGGGCATCAGTCCATCAAGCCCACGTGATTGTGATTGAGCCCCAGTAAAAACTCTGGACACCAAGACTCCGGGGGCATCTCTGCTTGGCAACACTCCGTGCATCTCGTCACGCACCATTGCTGGGAGGAATTCACGTGGTCTGTAACTCCACTGGGAGAAGGAGACTGGAACTTCCTTGCACTCTGCCCCATGCATCTCTTCCCTTGGCCGATTTTAATCCTTTCACTGTAACAAACCATGACTGTAACCATCACAGCTTTCAGTGAGTTGCTGAAATGGAGGAGGATGATCTTGAGGACTCCCAAACTTGCAATTGCTCTCAGGAGTGAGGGTGGTCCTGGGGACTGCTTCCTAATTTCTGCATCTTCCTTTCCTGTTTCTCCTTCTCTCTCTCCTCCTCTTCCTTGAAAACTGCAGGATATACCATGAGCAAGGATTCTGCCTCCCTCAAGCCATCTCTTCTCCCTCCAGCAATGCAGCCCGAGCTGCCTGTCTCATCCAGAGCCATCCCACGTGCTGCCAGGCAAATGCAAACATCTTCTTCACCAACCCGACTTTCTCCCATAATTCATAGCATGTCGTGCATACCCTATTGTTATTGCCCCATATGAATTTTCGGTGGATTTTCTAGTTTCCTGTGTTGAGCGTGCATTTTCTTTCTTTTAAAAATGAAGAAACAAGTGGGTTACACAGGTTGGAAAGTACAGTGAGCAAGGCTCTAGGAAATGGCCGTTTCAGGGAGACGCTTAGGGAGCGGTTGTGCCCTTACTTTTTGAGACAGTTTCTTGCTCTGTTGCCCAGGCTGGAGTGCAGTGGCGCAATCAAAATCACACAAGCAGTGTGCTGGCGGGAGGGAGGCCCAGCACACACAACCTTTACCTCCCAGGCTCAAATGATCCTCTTATCTCAGCCTCCCTGATAGCTGAGATATGCACACCATGCCTGGCCTTTATTTTTTGTAGAGGTAGGGTCTCACAGTGTTGCACAGGCTGGTCTTGAACTTCTGGGCTCAAGCAGTCCACCTGCCTTGGCCTCCCAAAGTGCTGGGATTATAGGAGTGAGCCACCACCCCCAGGGGTGAAGCGGACTGAGGCAGGGCAAAGGTGAGCTGTGGGCCCTCGGTCCTGGCACAGATCACACCACTGGAAATTCCTGCCCATTCTCCCACCAGTGGGTCCACAGCCCTGGGAAAAGGTGGCTCTTTTAGGCCCCCGGCCTGCTCCCAGCTTTTCCTCTGTGGAGGCAGGTGTGTGAGAAAGGATGTAGCCAGGCAGGTGCAACACACCTGGGCAGCCCGTGGCTGTGGCCGTGGCCGTGGCCGTGGCTGGTTTGCACCAGGAGAAAAAGATGTTGAGGTGAGACCTTGAGAAACAACTCCCTTATCTCACCACACCTCCCCTCCAGGGCGGGATGAGATGATGCCCCCCCTCTTCTGCAGCCACCTCTTCTGCAGATGCCTGGCTTCTCCAGACTTGCTATTTTGGAGGAGCAGGTTGGTGGGAGTGACGGACTGTCTCGCCTCTAAGCCATTTGTGGGGCCCAGGGTGTGGGCAGGGGCAGCTGCAGCCCCATCGGGCCTCTCACTCCCTGCTTGGCCTCTGTAAGGCCTCCCGGGAGCAGGTCACAGAGCCCCCGTGGTGGAGATGAGTCACTTGTTCTAAAAATAAAAGGGGTGAAGTCATGAAATAGTGTATTTCCTTTTTAAGCCCGATGTGCCTGCAGAGGGATCCCCAGCAGTATGCTGGTGGCAGGGAGGCCCAGGAACCCTGACAAGGTCTGGAGTCTCAGAGCGCTCCTGCCCCCACTCACAAGCCTCGGGGACTGGGTGGGGTGTCAGCGGTTCCAAGCTGAGTGGGCAAAAGACGGCATGCAGGCCGGGAGCAGGGCCTCACACCTGCAATCCCCGCACTTGG